CGCAGACGGCTACGCGTATCCTTCGGACGAGTCTTTTCTAACCTTGTTGTCGATGATTCTATGCATGGCCGCTTGGTATCGCTCGAAACGTACTAACCAGGATGACAGCAAAGAATGGTCTAGCGACCTGTTACAGATCGTCGAGTCCCGCCTCGTCCAGCTAATGGACCAGCGTTCAATTGCTGCCGTGCAGACCTGTATTCTACTAGGATCCCATCATGTATACCATGGTAGACCGAACTTGTCATTCGCGCTTTTAGGTGCTACCATTAAGATCTCCCAAGCGATGGGCCTACACCGAAAGGTAGAAGGAGGGGATCCTCACGAAAACGAAGAACGTAAAAGGGTCTGGTGGACGGTATATACTTGGGATAGGTATAGCCTCATATTGCCATATTATAAGAAGATTGACTGACCAGCCAGGTTTGCGTCTATTTCATACGGGCGGCCTTTGAGTATAAATGACGAGGATTTTACCGTTGGGATGCCGGCTGAATTCTCCGAATCGCCATACTTTGTCCGGCAATCTGACGAACGAGACGAGACAGGAATCGTCTACTCGTCTTATCAGAGAGAACTCAACAAGATGTATCTCATTGCGTCTCCTGTCCTGAAGACTATATTCGGCTCTCTCGCAACACCAACTTCAAAACAACGTTTCAGTTCCGACTTCGCTTCGCTTGTCAACGAGGTGACCCAGAAACTGACTGCCTGGCGCCACCAACTTCCTCCATACTTGATGTTGGACCTCAGCCAAGATTATCAGCCCGAAAATAGCGGATGGAGCACTAGGGCTCATGTCCTGCAGTCCCTTTCTCTGCAATTAACATTCGATAACCTCATGATAGTACTGTATCGGCCTTTTTTGTCACGAAAGGTCGAACATTTATCTATGAATGTTTCTGGAACGCATGCCCATGTGCCCGAGATTACTGAACCTTCTGGTCAATTCCAAACAGAAAACCTAGCCTCGCAGGCGAACAACATATCCGTACACGATCACGTGTCACCAATGAGCGAAGCTACGGCAAGCTCGGAATATTGGTGGAGCGCGGCGGTAAGAACAGCGCATGTGACCGAACTACCCCAGCTTGCCCAGATTGCTACCGACAGCCACCTTGTCGCATTCATGGCCATGAACCTATTCAACGCGGCTATAGTTTTAATATCTCTAGCTCTTTCTGACCCACTCTCCGACAGAGCTCAAGGAGCTAAACGCTCGATAACCAGGGTTTTTCGCCTACAGGAGCTGCTAGGTCAGCGATCGGCCCTCTCTCGACAAAGTAGCGTTGTACTAAAGAACCTAATCTATTTACTGCTCCGTCGGGAAGTGGAGGCCATGCTTGCCCCTGTCCCAGCCGCATCTACCCAGGCTGGGCTTCACATGGAGCAACAGCCACTCGCATCCTCAAATGCTGTCGTTATGTCAGTAGGGGATACACTCCGTCTTCCCCTAGAGGCAGCCTTGAGTACGTCAGACCAAGTAGCCTCGGGGCAAACTTGGTCAAATCTGAGCAGACGTCAGCGTCTCAACGAGAGCTTGGCCTCGGTGCAGAGAGGTAAGGAGGTTTCCCCCTCCCTCCGATCTCTGCCCATCGCTGATTATCCCCTTGTAGTGTTCCCACCATTCCAAGATCAACAGCTGCAATCTGACGCCATACTGACACCGAATAATGGGGGCATGGAAGACGGCACAATACGGCTGCCACAACAGCAAATGTGGCAGGGCTCCTTAAGCCAATCGGGAAATTATACTCAGCCGCAGACTATGAATCATGAAGAAGGAAATGACCTATTCTGGCTCTGGGATGTTACCTGGGATGCAGGTTATGGGCAGTGAACCATTCACCCGGGTCTTGATTGACACTGCCATTACAGACACAGACAGACCAACAAGACCTTATTTCGAGTATTATACGACCACATGAAAAACTGAATCGGACAAGTTAGTACCTTGCATTGCATACAAAAGATGATCCTTGCAGGAAAAACCACGTGGAGAGCAAACCCACCCATTAATCGAACCACCAACCATTGTCATCAAGACCATTTTGCTTGCTTATGTAGTGGATTTCAAATTCTTGGATGACATGATCACGCCACGTTGTGACTCGTACATAATCTTGATTCGGTCTCGAACAGACGCCGAGCGCGATCTCCTTTACTCCATGACCCGCTTACTGTAGGCACGTGCCGCAACCCTCCCTCTTCACCTACATTTGAGTGTTCCGGCGGATCGGTCCCGACGGAATGCGTATCACCCCTACAACTAGCGCCCCACGAAACCCACATCCTTGGTAAGTAATACTTCCCCGGATTCAACCCATTATGGCCACTCTCTCGCGTAATGACGGTATTTGCCGGCCAGAACTCACCATGCGGAGGAAGATTCCATCAGATCTCTGGGAACGCTTCCCCTTGGGGAATGATGAGGGGAGTCTCGGAGATGGTCATGGCTTTCTGGGGATGTGCTACTGAGCCAATATAAGTATTCCGGGGCCCCGGATTGCCTGTGTCAGAAGGGAGAACATTGCGCATCCCGTATTCATACCAGAAAACCGACAGAAGTGTCAACATACCGGCTGCGAAAATGGAGAAGCCACCAGCACCAACACTTTTGGAGTCTGCTCCCACATCCCAGGCTAAGGATAGCCTCCCACCAGTCCATGTCTCATGGATCGAGTCAAAACTTAAGCCAAAGACAGTTTCCCGCCGTTATCCATTCAAAGGAAAGCCTCTTCTTTGGATGACATGCGCGTTCGGAAGCTTGGGTGACGCGTTGTTCGGCTATGACCAAGGTATGCTCCTCCCACCCAAAGTTCCCCAGCTCAGGTTCAGGTCTTTAACCACAGTTTAGGTATCGTTGCGGGCTTGTTGGTAAACCCCGTGTTTATCGCGAGATTTTTCAAGGACTACGGCGGTGCCGATGGAACGACCGATAACATCGACCCGACCATCACAGGTATTCTTGTGGCGTGCCTTCAGCTCTCGGCTGCTGTCGGTTCCCTCATCGCTGGTCGTCTCGGTGATATAGTTGGGAGAAAGAAGTGTGTCCGTTTCGGCGGGTTCATCTATTTTGCCACTGCCTTCATCCAAGCGTTTGCGCCGGACTTTGCCACTTTCGTAGCTGGTCGAACACTTCAGGGTTTGGGTGTCGGTTTTCTCTCTATGACCGTTCCTGTCATCCAGACTGAGATCGCTGCGCCACATCACCGTGGTCTCATGGTTGGTATCGAGTACACCTTTCTCATCGGAGGTTATGCCCTCTCTACGTGGGTGGACTATGGTTTCTACTTCCTGATTCCGAGGAACGAGTCCTGGCAGGGCCCTTATTTCATCCAAATGGGCTTGGCTTTTATCCTGTTTGCCATGTCCTTCATTCTCCCTGAGACGCCTCGCTGGCTGGCCCGTAATGGCTTCCCGCAAGAATGCCTCCAGACTGTTGCGGACCTACATACACCCGATGGCAACACAGAAGCTCCTCATGTGCAGCAGGTCGTGTTGGAGATCAACGAGGCTGTGCGCTATGAGGCAACACTGGGGCAGTCGTCGTGGCGGGAGATGTTTACACGCTATCGAAAGCGCACACTCGTTGGCATTACAGCACAAGCGTTCGCCCAGCTCAACGGTATCAACGTTGTATCCTTCTACTTGCCGACTGTGCTAGCCGCAGCGGGACTCAGTGAGGAGAAGTCCTTGCTCTATACCGCGGGTAACTCAATCCCCTATGTTGCTGCCACGATCCTTACCTGGTGGTTGGCCGACAAATGGGGCCGACGTCCACTTCTAATTCTTGGCGGTAAGTTAACAAAACATCAGCTTCCAATTATATAATATATCAGTCAATCCTGTTCATGCAGTCCCTAACAGATTGAAAACCAATAGGTATCCTTATGGCTATCGCCCTCAGCATCGTCTGCGCCTTTACTCAAGCACACATTGCCGATCCTAATGTACGCGCCCATGGCATCTATGCTTTCGTCGTCATCTACAATGCCATCTACGGCTTTACCTGGGGCCCTATCCCTTGGCTCTTGCCTGCAGAAATCTTCCCACTGCGCGCGCGTAGCAAGGGCATGGCGCTGGCGACTTGCTCCAACTGGCTCTTCAACTTCGTGATCGGCATGTCTGCGCCGGAAGCCTTCGCCGGCATCCAGGGCTATTACTACGTGATAATTGCGGGATTCTGTTTGATTTCCGTCTGTCTGGCGAAGTTCTACTACGTCGAGACTGCGAACCACACGTTGGAGGAGGTTGCGGTTGCCTTCGGAGACAAGGCCTTCGCGGATGACGATGAGCTCGTCATTGCACAGGCTCATCTGACCCGTGTGACAGAGGATAGCAGGGTTGCTTTATAAATGGAAGTTGATTAACAGCGTCGTTGAGCGAAATTTGATGGAAATTAGCTTTGGTTTATGCTGTTTGTTGCCATATATGTATAGTGGTCTATACTCCATTCCACGCCAGGGAATTACGCCTCGATGAATCAAAAAGTTGTGAGTTATCAGGTACTTCTCGTATTATGATTAAGTTCATCATTACTATAACCCCAAGGTCTCATCCTTGATAGAGAGTATCGTATGCGAAGGTGACCGGCCCAGCTAACCAACACGGTTCAAGCACGTTTCACATCCCGAAGCCGATTATTTCCACAAGCCTTCGTAGGGAATCGCGGTATTCCGTTGAGCTGTAATTATAATCCATGCCGAATTTATTTTCGCGTCGTACGAATAGTTGCTAGAAAAAGGGTCGGGAAATTCATTATCCAAACTTGGATTACACTTCGTCCGTCCGATTACTTGATTGGCCCATACGCTGCAGGTCAACAAGGGAGGAAAATCGGCCATGTGTTGGTAAGACCTATAACCCCGTACAAACCGATAATCAAAAAACGAAGACAGAAGACTAGGTTGCAATCCTAGTTAGCTAGGAAGCATCAGGAGTTGAGCCCGACACGGGGATTGAACCTATTGATGGTAATCCAGTATCGACGTTGATTTCGCAAATAGCTGTGTATTGGACCAGCTACTGACCTGAAACCTTGAGATTAAGAGTCTCACACTCTACCGATTGAGCTTACTGGGTAAGGGGACCAGATCATGCCCTAGCGGATGGAAATACTTGGGTATTAGCTTATCGTTTCTTTTAGACCACGTATAATTTTGGAGGCCGGATAGGAACGACATAGCTCCCTCCCCTTAATTGTACTGGGAGCGTTGGACATGTGTTTGAACTGCACTTGGCGTGGCTCAATGTTGTATATGGTTTTAGGATGCCAGTAGCATACCAGTGCCGACGACATAGGCCAATCGTAACTGGTAATTCAACTAGGAGTCCTAAATAGGGTGGAATTCAAGTGGAATATGAAGGTGCTTCTTGTTTCTACATATTTCGGTAAATTCGTGGTTCTATTTTTATATCTAAATATCGATAATTCGGCTTATTGCCTTTTTTAATACATTCGACAGTCCATGATGGCCATCTACGTGGGCCGGGCTCATCGCTCGAGTATATCTAGGCAAAGTGAGGCGCGTTTATGAATAGGCCCATGAGTACTCCTCCCAGAGTGCCAGCAATGGGAATGGTCATAATCCAGGACAGAAGGAGGAGGCCAACTCGTTGGAAGTTGACCGCCTTGAGAGTTCCATTGCAAAGGCCAACACCCACGGTGGCGCCAGTGATACACATAGAGGTCGAAACCGGAAGCGAATACTGCGAGAACACGAGGACAGTGATCGCGGCTCCCATCTCCATAGAAGATCCTACAGAATAAGCAGGTTAGCAGGTATTAAAGCTGCTGGGATTGTGAATGCGACAAACCTCTGCTGGGTGAATGATATGTGATTTTATTGCCCATGACTGTTTGGTTTTAGTTAGCGATAACCCCCCGGGTATCTGTGTTGATTGGTACGCACCCTTCATAATGTTATATCCATACGTGACAAGACCAAGAGATATAGTTGCCGAGAGTACGGCGAGCTGCCACACGGGAACGGGAGCCTTGGCTGCGGCAGCGTCGCCAGTAGACCAGGCCGCATAGATAACGGCCCAAGGACCGGCCGCATTTCCAATATCGTTAGCGCCGTGCGCGAAAGATGCAGTGCAAGCGGTCAGAATCTGGACGAAGGAGTAAGTGTGCTCGACTTCGTTGGGGTACTTTTCCGCATGGGCGTATACCCGTTGCATCCGGTCGCCCTCGGGGGTGCCGGCAATACCAGATTGCGCGGCGTGAATATCGTAGTGGAGACCGTAGAGTAAACCGCAGACAATCATGGCCGGCACGCGCTTTGCAACGACCTTGAGGTTGTGAAGCTCGTAGATCGCGCCAGCCCCCATGGGGTTATCCCGAAGCGTGCGCATAGCCCAGCCGAGAGGGCCACGCTTCTTCAGAAGTTTCGCATGCAGCTTGTTCTCTCCCTCTGTAACAATGTCTTTGTAAGTCGTCTGTTTAGCCTCGTTTATTACAAGTTTCTTCTCGTTGTCCTGACTAGCCCCGATTTCGTCCCGCGTGGTATCGGATTCCACGAGGGATCCCGGGGAGCGAGTGGACGATAGTTCCTCCTCGTCCTCTTGGACTACGGCGTAGTTAGGAACGGCCGCCTTGTCGCCTTCGGCTAGGACCGGGCGTTTAAACAGCAGAGGGCCCTGAATAAACATCCACCATTTGACGGAGTGACTAAATGAATTTGAAAACTCGTTAGTAAAGTTATATTACGGATCACGAAAGATCTATAATTTCTTCGTCGAGTTCACCATGGACTAAATATTCCAGCCTACATGACCTAGCACTCGCCATGGGTGGAGTTAGAAGTAGAAAGTGGAATACGTACTCCCTTCTGATAACCTTCGAGTGCACATAGGGAATGAAGAATATAGCCGACATGAGGCACAGACCGCCACCTGTACCCATTGTGACGGCAGCAATATACCAGCCAGGCCGCTCTTTCAGGTTGAGGTTGGGCGAGCCCTTGTAGACGATGGATAACGTGCAAACAGTACCGGCGATAAGGAAGAAGAACGGAGACGTCCAGACGGCCCACTGCACAGGATTCTTGCGCACATGCACAATGAGCTTAATGAGCATGAATATAGTAGCGCCGAACCCGGCAGAGATGAGAGGAGCCATGCCCAAGCCGGCGAAGATGGCACCGAGTCCCTTACCGCCGTTCCAGCCCCATTGAACCTCAGAGGCGCCAACAGTAGCGACACCAACACCAGCAACGGCCGAAATAAGGGAGTACGTTGACGAGACATGAGCAGAGTGTCGTGTACACCACATCACCCAGGTCGATGCAGCTGCGAGCGCGCAGGTAAACGCGAGCATCTGAACTCCTGGGTTCTCGCGGAAGGCCGTAACGGGAATGATGCCGTTTTTTATGGTCTCGGCCGTTCGTGCGCCGACTGTAATGGCCCCGAGCATCTCAAAGATAGTGCCGAATATCATCGCCTGCCTATACGTGATAGACCTCGACGAGACACTGGTCGCCCAGGCGTTTGCCACATCGTCTGTTTTGTTTCAATAAGCACGCGGGGGTTACCCAATTGAAGGACGAGCTACTGCTACTCACTTGCACCATTGTTATAGGCATCGAGCATGGCAAACAATGTGCCAATCACAAAGACGTAGGTATATTCGTCGAGCGCCATGTTGACGAGAGGAGGCTAACAAGCTTTAGTCGATAATTGGAAATAGACACCTCGTGCGCGTGGTAGCGAGAAACGCAGAGGGACAGAGTGCGACATAAAACCCTTTTATGTGACTTCTGCAAATCCCAGTCCCAATCCACGTGCCCGCGGATGCTCGTAAACGTACGGCCTCAGATCCCTTGACATTCAACGGCTAGAGCCCTTCCCTGCGTACGACCAGAAGTAGACGAACAAGTCGGGGGAAACGACCAGCCCCGTTTACGTCTAACCATGTCTTTTTATGCCACGTTCTTATGTGAACGGGTATGATTCGCGCGCGGCGGCCGTCGAACGCCACATTTCTTACAAGCATCATAATGCTTGTCAGCCAGGCGGTTCTACCTCGAACTTGGATTTTGCCTTGACGTCGTGGGAGCCACCGAAAAAAAGCAGAGGCGGCCCGAGATATCGAACTTGGCGGCAGCTTGGCGGCATCTTAATATATACACAAGTTTGCGAGGCCGTGTGGGGATTTCCCTGTCGTTCGAGGTTGAGGCTCTTGGCGAGCCTCGGCTGCATATGAGACGTCAGCCTATGAGAGTTGCTGACTTCACCACGTGTGTGATGAAGTCTTTCCCTATGGCTGATCCAACGCCAAGCCTCGTCAGACCCAAGGCCCTGGTTTCGGTCAATAGCGTGAGAAAAGAGCAGTTTTCTAGATTCTATCGGTCCATTGAGAACATATATTTCCCATGTGATTTCCGTTCTAGAAGATGAATCGAGAATGACATACAGTATCTGTATCGCGGGATCTGGGAGTTGTCGTCTTGCCTTTACTAGCGTAGCGTCGGCGATCCCATGCCTAGTGAAACTAGTAAACAATGTAGCACACGGACGTAGGTAAATTAGGCTCTCGAGGTAACAATTACATGGTTTCCTACGATCCAAGTGAAACATATGAGCCAAACATTATTCCATTCCTGAAACACGGTTTGGCAAAGAGATATTTTTGGCATTACCTAATTCTGAGGAACGTGTGTGCAGTGACGATCCCGTGTTGGCGTTTCATGCTTCCAAGACTACCTACCTGCATATATTACACACTTTCTTATTAGCTCCCCATATAATTATGGTTTGTCCCCTCTGAGTCGTATAGACGTAACTGGTACCTGCATGATATCCTTTCATTCGACAAGAAATAGAGTTTCACTCTGATACACAGGCTGGTAACGTAACCTGTATACAAAGCTTGGAATAATATATTTAGCATTTTTTTTCCACCTGTGCCTACCGAGCACTTGCTTCATAGAATCTGGGCAAGTCTCCCAATAGTGCATATACGCATGATTGAAACTCACCGAAGGCTTAGCATATCTTTATTTTTATTTTTATCCTATTGTGTAGTACGTCCACATTGACAGAAACTTGACCGAGGTTTCTCGGCTCTTGAAATTCAAACTGTAAGTGGACTCATGCCAGCTTTATGATATCACCTGCTCAAATGGAATCATCAGGTTTTCATAGTTTCAGTTTAGTAGCAGCAGGTAATTAAATCATGTTGTGACTCGTGAAGCCAGAATAGTTACTTTAAAGGCGATGTATAGGAACCGTTGTATGTATTGAAAATGAGTTAAACAATTGAAAGAAATTGAAATGATGATCAGGCCCGGTGCTTTACTAAAAAAAAAGCTAGGTACGCTTGAAAAGAATGAAATAAGGAAGATATCATTGATTGCAATAACGCGATTATAATTCCTATTGTATCGGTATATATCTCATAATAAACTATACATAAGGCATCTGGACTATTATCTAGTAGACACTACACCAATAACCTCGGAGTGATAGCTTTGCTTTCGCCCCTGTCACAACTGGTGTTTTATCCTTTTCCTCATCTGCATATTTTGCTTGCAGTTGCTTTCTGAGAACGAGCTAATTTGGCTTGTCCTCCTCTAAAGATAAAGCTCAGAGGGTGTAGGCCCTATGACTGTCCTCCTGGATAGTTGCTGGAATAGGGCTTCATTCTATGGCTGTGGTGACTTATAAATCGTAGAGTGCATGTTCTCAATCCTAACAGGGGTCTGTGTGGGTGCAGTCCCTATTATACATAGAATTCAATCAATAATTAAGCTAGATGACGTTAAGTATTGGAGCCAACCTCAGACTGATTTTAAGGCACACAACGAAGTGAGTATCTACCTAAATTAATATTATGTATTGAGATGGGACGAATATATGAGGATGGGATTGAATGTGTTGTTTCAAGGTGAGTCTAGGTGGGATGGGCGAAGCCCATCCCATATATATATAGATAGATACAGGAGATCAGGGGTCTTATAGCCCCGTATTTCAAATTATGAGGGTATTCTTTAATTCTAGCTCAAACCCCATATCTCATTCGTATGAACTACCGATAGATGATATACATTAGGAGCAAAAGTCCATTCAGTTCTATGTC